AAATTATTTGGCTTTGTATACTTTTTGTCTATGTTTTATTGTTTTATAGAAAAAAAATATTTTCATTTACTTTTTGGTGGCATTTTTAAATACGAGTTTATTTTAAGAATAAAAGGTAAACTTATCATGTACTTAAACTAAATTAACTAAAAAAATACCCGAAAAAATGTTTGCAATATAACATGGACAAGAAATCAAAGAATTCAATTACATTTCCCATTAAATGGGAAAACGTTAGTGGGCGAATCTTATTAAAACTCTTATTTTATCAACTTATTGAAACGTCGTAAAAACGACCTTACTATTTCCCTATAAAGACAGCAGAAAAGACTTATCTTTAAGGCGGTCACTAAAAGGTAAAAATAATTTTTAAATTTTACAAAATTAAAGACAATTCAGAAAACCGTTTCCATTCCATTTTGTTTGTTATGTATCTTGTGCCGTCAAGTGAAAACGCACGGTAAAACAGGGATAAAACTAAAAGTACAATATTAATTGAACGAACGCTACATTACATTTCATTTGACTAATATTTCAGAATGATTAAACTGCTGTTAAAGTGTTAAATCGGTAAAAAATTCAAATGTGACGAGAGTGTACGAAATTACAATATTATTTAAATTTGAATTTTGATTGATTGGACGACGGTTTATTATGTAGCACACACAGTAGAATAATTCGGATTTGTTATTTAATTCTGTTGTCGAATAAATAAAATTAGGTATTGTCGAACAAATATCAATGTAAATTTCAAGGGTATATCACGGATGATAATAATAGTTTTTGTGGATGTTAATAGCTATTATTTGAAAGCTAAATTACTTTTTCACTAAAATTTGTTTTTTTTTTATTTATGCATTATTTTCATAAATTATTAATACGTATTACCTCGAATTGAATTAAAAAAGATAAAAGTTCTTTGGAAAATCATGGTATCATGTGCAAATCGATTTGGACAGAATCAATTTTTACTGAAGCGTGGAACATTTCTTTTTAAAAATAGAAACCATATTTAAAAATCTCAAACCACATAATTTTATACTTTAGAAAAACACAACACGAATTAAATATTTTTTTTAGTTTAATTAGTTTAACGCTTAATTTTACACCTGGTTGATTTTAAATTCTAAGTGGAGCAAAGAAGCTTATGGTTTTAAAAATATTTTTATTTATTTATTTTTATTTTCTGTGAACAACTTTTCTACCAGAAATTTTGCTCTAATTTTTAATGATAGCAATTTTCTAAAATAAAATTTTACTGGGAAGGTATTATAAACAGGTCGTTTTTCGATTTTTTTCGTAGTTTTTTCAGCAAATGTGAAATCTGGGAAAAAATAGGAAAACCGGGGAAATCAGTACAACATCAAACAAATATTATTAAAGAAAATATATAGATTCTACTTAATTATTTTACTATAATATGGCATATAAATTGTTGACAAAGCATCACAATCAACTGAACTTCACTCAGAATCGTTTTTTATTAAGCAATGATTTATCGTTACTTACAGATATATATTAAATTACCTATAACAGTGGCCCTTTATCCTAGGACATCTTTTTTACTTTTCTTTTAACAAATCTTTTTACGAATAATAATCAAATTTAAACTTGTAAACTACACACCGTGCCGTTTTACTATATACGATTTCGTTCACATACAATTTTAAAAATTAATTTCGAAATTTAATTTCACCATAAATTTATTGAAATCCGTATAACGTTTTCTTTCCTTTGTTGTGTAAATTAATATTTTTTGTAAATTATTCCCAGTAGTACCGCGGTGTTCATTTGCAAAACGAACGATTTTCCAATAAATACTATTCTAAAATCACAGAGGCATACATATACATATTTTATAATTTTCCGAAAAGTATTTTACTAGTAAAATTCTTCATCATATTATAACAATAATTTTATTATTCTCTTCCGTTCGGATTCTAAAATATTCGAGTTCGTGTATCAAAAGTCAAAGAACCGAAGGAGCTATTCATTTTTAATCAGATGTGTTTTTCTTGGAAAATACTTTCTCGGTTATTAAACTCCTCCAAAATGTTCACTTTAAAATGTACCTTAAAAACTGCTGATTTTCTGTATGATAATTTATTCGGACATGTTTTGTATAAACTTTTAATGGTTTTTTTCATAAAATTAAAAACTGACAACAAATTACGATTCATAATATAATTTGATGTTAGGGTTACCTTTGAGTTCAAGGGGAATAAAACACGATTAATAGTAGAATTTAAACAGTTTACCAAGCTCTGCTAAAAATCTTTTTTTTCTTTTCTACTTATATTGATTTATCTATAAACTGCCCAGTATCCCATATATACAGGCTGTCTCAAGAAGATATACCCCTTGAATATCTCTCCGTAAGTAATTAAAATATTCAAATTCTGATTTTTTTTTTTTATATTACTATCACAGGGATAGGACTACATATATTTATATTTGAATTTAACTTTTCATTTTATTATTTTCGAAAAATTTTAAGACAGTCATTCTATACAGTTTATTTTTCTGAAAGTTTTAATGTATCACACATTTATATCCGATTAATAGTTTCTATGTAACAGCCGTTTTGAATTTTACTAATCCGTGTGAAAACCGATGTTATCTAGGGAACAACATAACCGCGTTACTACGCAACCCAACATTTCGTTTACCAATGGTTTACCGGATTTTTATTGAAGACGCAAAAATACGTCAATCGCTATATTATAATCATTAACATAATTAGCATTGTTTATTCATCTTAAAAATATTGTTTGCAATTGGTTTATAAAGAAACTTCCTCATATATGTTATAAGTTTACACATTTTTTTTAACGCCTCATAGCTCAATAACGCTAACAAAACGATTAATTTAGTAATGGAAAAATAATAATATTATTTCAAAATACTTCGCCGTGTTATCAGTTATAAAAAATAACAATAAATACATCGATTTTCACTAACAAAGACACCGGCGAGCATATTTTTTTTTTGTTACTATTAAAGTATTTATACACCATTTTGATGTTCGAAAACAATTTTTATTATTATTTTTTTTTTTTTGTTCTATATATTCTCTTGTTGACTTTATAGCACTATATTAGGTGATGACTTATCAATCAATCAACTCCGTTTAGAAACTCAATTCGAGATTTTAATGCACGATTTGTACCCATTATTTTATACTCTTGTGATTATGTTATATAACAAACCACCGCGGTGGTCTATACAAAAAAGCCTCCTTAGTGGTAAATTTACAAATTTGAAGTATAATATCATATCTATATGCATTTTTGTATACAAGCTCGTATGTATTACCTAGTACTATGAATTAGAAACGAAAAATCTCCTATCAATCGGTTTTAAATATTTTTTAATTTACTTCAGTGTCCTGACTGAATTTTTATATACTTCTCTCCAAGAGTTTTTTCCACAACCTCCCTCAACTTTACTTGATCCTGAAAGATTTCTCCTCCAATTCTATCAAAACGGTCTTATTCCACATCATCCATCAATTTTTTCTTAGACCGACCCTGCGGTTCGTTTTTAATTCAGAATTTTTCTGTTTTATCACCGTGGCTTCTTCGTATCCCGAGTCCAAACTGTCAGACCCTTTTGTCCTCGTATGGAATCTATATGACAGATGTCATACATATTTTTTCTTGGTTAAAATCGTACGTTAAAATAATTATTATTGTATAGGTATTATTATTATTTTCTGACGCCCACTATTGGCTTTAAGGCCGGTGTCCTTATCGATTGATATTTTATAGATAAGTTTTTAGACCAATTGAATGATAGATTTATATCACACAGAATTGTTTTGAATAGTTTTGATTGTATTTTACCTAAGATAGGAATGAAAATATCTGAAGATATTAAAGGTAAATTCAAACAATTAGTAGAAACATATCAAGGTATAATTGATAAATGCTGTAACGATTCAAATTTAAATGAACATATATTAAACAGAGAATTAGATTTGTGGTACATTAAATATTAAAATTTAACATCTTCCGAACTCAAAAACAGAAATGCTATTTAAGTATACTTTCAAACTAGTCCAGATGTTTATCCAGTAATATCTTAAAGTCTTTAAATATTCATAACACTTCCAGTGTCTACTGTCACGGGAGAACGATCGTTTTCAACACTACGTTGTTTGAAAACATAATTGAGAAATTCTTCGGAACAAATACGTTTAAATGGTTTAACCTAACTAAAATAAATTCATCACGATAATAACGTGGATATTAATGATGTTATAGATGAACTTGCTAAAACATCAAAATGAAAAATGAATATTTTTAATTTTTAAAAAAGATAAATATTTCAACGTAAATAAAATTAGAGCGGTAAATAGTAATAAAATGTTTAATGTATGATTATAATACACACACAAATTAAAACAATTTCATTTTTTACATTTTTTTCAATCCGCCACCCCCCCCCCCCAAAAAAAAAAAAAAATAAAATTCTGGATACACCACTGACGACGATTATAAGCCTAATTTAATCCAGGTATATAGTAATGTATGTAATAATTTATGTATGAAACCGTTGTGTGTGATTTGATAATCGTAGTTTATTTTCGTTTATTATTCAGTGTAGTGTAGTGTAGTGTATTACGGCTAGCAAAAGAAGTGCGCTTTCAGTTTTATCAAAAAAAAAAAACGTATATTATTCGAATATGACGAGCTTCATGAGAAGACAAAAATTATTATTATTAACCTATTGTTTTTCCGTTATTGTTTTACCTGTTTTTTGAGTCACCGCTCATAGTGATTTCCGGTTATAGTGATCAAAATACTCTCGGACAAATCACAAATGTGATCACTATAAGCGGCAGCCACTGTACTACTACTATAAATATAACGAAATAAATCGCCAGAAAAAATTACCCGTCGGTTCATTTATTTCGGTCCTCGTCGTTCAACCAATCAAAAATCTTTGGACGATAAACGTCAATAATTCCGAACGAATATTTCCATAGTTCGCGTACCCGTGCATCGTACAGTACGTACTATCAATAATACTGGATTTGAAGATCCGCACAATATATTGTAGGTAGATGGGTACTCGAGACCACTCGAAACGAACGAGAAGGAACTGCAGTATTTGACCGACAATTTCTCGCACTCGACGAGGTCATATTATAATATTATATACTTGAATATGTTCGTAAACAATAAGTATAAAATTATTATGTGGAGTCCGTTTTTCGTTTCACTGACAACGCGTTAACTTAATGTTGTAATGCCGTATTATCATTTGTCGTTATATTATATCGTCAAAAACGATAATTATTGAAAAAAAAAAGAATTGTTCATACGTGAAAAAGCTAGTATGGTTCGACAAAGACGCATTTTATTTCTCAGTAAACGATTTTTCGGTAGTTGAAAATTTTCCAGATATATAATAGGTACTATTTAAACGATTTTTATACAAATTCCCAAAAGTTTTTCTAAAAAAACTGACAAAAAATTACGACATGTCGATTTTATTTTTGCTCATTTTTTGATTTCTTCGAGGGAAAAAAACACGAATTGTACGGTGGTTTATCGAACTCCACTTTTTTTTTTTCGTTTCATCAACTAATCGTTTCTTTTAGCATATAGACTATAAACTTCTCTATTTTCTATATAACTTCCCGACTTTCCAACTATACAACAATGGCATGCCCATCTCCGCTTTTTTTTAAAAAAAAATTTAGTTCAATAAAACTTGTATAATTCAATATAATACGAGATTTAAAAAAAAAAAACTTGCGACTGGATTAGTATTGTATAGCTTTTTTGGTATCGTTATATAAATTCACAGAATCTGTCAAATGTTAAAACAAGACGAATTTAATATTTACACGTCAACATTTTTTCGTTTGTAATTACGCTGTCATAAACATATAATCATTTACTGATTATATTGTCAACATTGGTTATTTATACGAAATAAACTTTTGTGCAAACAAATTTTTTTTCGTTGTAGGATAGTTTATTATGCAATAAAAGTATTATAATATTATATAGGTATTTTTATTTTTAATCTGAGTAGAACACAAAAAATATTTATTTCTTTTTATATAGTTTATACTTTTTTCCTCTTCGGAATAAAAATAAATGCTTAATAAATGTCATTCATCACATCAACCGATAGGAAATTGAACTGAAATTATACCAACGTTAAATAAATGCCATGTTTTCGATATTCTCGATGGTTTTTGTTTTTTTTTATTTTGTTTTTGGAAACGAAATAAATATCTATACCTACCAAAAAATGTCGAAAAACGCGGAAATTGAAATACCCGTTTTTAACGAAAAATAATCACGAAAAAATAAATGACTACCTCTGAACTCTGTTCAGAAACGTTTATCGAATGCAATGACTTACCCACTGTGCATTATATTGTTTTATTTATATTATATAAATATATGTTCAATTTATGTTGCTAAACATCCTTAAAATGTTAATCTTAAGTCATAATTATAACATAAATGTTTTACGTTTATTTTATGTAATATATTTGTAAAAAATAAACATGCATATTTATTACAAGAATTAAACGTTTGTCAAATGCAGTTGCGTATAGATGGGGGGATTCATTATATTATAGATGGTTTAAAAATTTAAACAAATACTTATATTACATATTATGCACACGCTATACAGAATAATATTCTTCTATCATGATCTAACGATTTCAGTTTTTTTTTTCAATCATTAAAGAATATTGTGTGGGCTTTAATTTAACACTATTTTCTAATATTTACCCATACCATATTACCGTAATAAGAATTAACTTATGATTTTCAGATGACAATTTCTCCCTTTTCCATGGATTAAAAACAATATATTTTTCTTAACATTTTTAACATATTGGATTTTTCGTTCATGAGTTATACTTACCTGTAATATTTAGAATTTAAAATACTTGTAGAATTAAGAGGGGTAATAAATTGATCATAACTATTTTAATCGATGATTATAAAATAATTACATTGTGTACTGAAATCCTGTTTGCCACTCATTCTATGACATCCAAACCTCCAGCCATGTCTATCCAGTACTTTACTATCGAATTCTCCTTCTAGTTCGTATACGATTTTCTTGACTTCGTCTTTCCGAAATCTCACCTCATTATCCATTTTTCAGTGGGTTTTTCCCTTTCGGGTTCTTTTCTAACACGGTACAAAGTAATAGGTTTTGATTTCTCCAGATGTGTCCATCCATTGTCCTTTCTTATTTTTTTTGGTTTCTACAAAGGGATTGTAAACATGATTTTGACATCTGATTCCCCTCTTCTCGTTATCTTTTTTATTTTAACATAATGTACATAGCTTTGTATTTAGGAAGTTTGTAAAAAAGTTTTTTTATCACTGATTTTTACAAAAGTTATCTGTATGCAACTGATGGTGTCTACGATATTCGGGCTATTTATAGTGATGCAGTGAATATATAGTTCTTTATCCTTTCTAATTTTCTACTCAGTGATCTCAACTTTCAATATCTTTTACGGCTCTAAAAATTGTCTTTAAAATGTAAGAGGTCTCTGTATAAATTAACGACTTTTAATTTTTTAAGTACGACTAGAACGTAATTCTATCTATAGTATAAAAAAAATAAACCTATTATTATTAACTCGAACAGTATACTATTTTGTTTTTTTCTCACCCACAAATTGTAATTTCGCGAGCAATTTAATGTCTGGTCTTTCGAAACGATGGCAGCTCTGCAGTGTACGTTTTGCCGCCGTCCGAAATTAAATATTGACCGCCACACGGTTTCGTTTAGGAAAAACATCCGTACGTTTATACGTGCGAACTCGGCGAGTCCGTAAATTGGATTTAAATATTCACTCACGCGTATTATATTGAAGTTGTAGTAGACGCTCGTGTATTTGAAATTGGTGGGAACCTATGTACCTACCTTTTCTAATTTACATAAATGATATTTAAGTCAATTATTCTGTACTCCGGGAACGAGTATTTTAAATTCGTTTTTGTGTTACCCTAAACTGTTTTTTTTTTCAAATCCAAAATTTGGTAGCAGTAGTAAGTAATGCTAGTAGTCTAGTTTTAGTGCCGTTGACGTGACTCCCATCCATGGTACCGTCTTCGAGGTAAAATAATACTATTGGTGTAGTCCGTTGGGATACTTCGGTACTTGTCCTCCCGAAATTCTTCACTTAGAAGGCAAGTAAACATTATTGTTTGCTTATTTTATTTTGTTAATGCCTACATTTGGTCACAACTGATGGCATCTAAATTATACGGATAACAATACGTTCAAATAATTTTAAGTCATTTTAAACAAAAAGTTAATATTCTGGTATTCTGGATTAAGTAACTATCAGGTTTTCATTAATTTGAAAATTAATTAGTTAATTTTTAAGCGTATTTCCTGAACTATATATTTATATATATCAAAACTGTCACACTGTGGACCATTTTCTTTTTTCGGATGATGTATTACAGACCAAACACTCTATACAATTGCCGTACAGGTCTCGTACGTGAGCTCGGTCGAATACATCAGAGTATACACCTACTCGCAGTATGTACAACAGACATAACGCAATACAGAATATTGTATTAGTAGGTTATGATTTTAAAAATGTTATGTTCAATATAATAATAATAATCGGACTTTTTGTTCAAAATTTTCAGGCTAATATAATATCGCTGCTCGAGATGAACGTAAAAATTAAAATTTAACAAACAATCGGATTTTCGTGCAGATATTCATGATATTCGTGTCGATTATAAATGCGGAAGTGCGTCCATCTGTTTGTTAACTTTCCGTACGTAGCTAAACCGCTGAATCGATCTTAATGCAATTTAGCTGGTAGGTATCTCGAATACATTCATAGATGCACGTTCAATAGCGAAATTAAACCCCTTACGGGTGGTTGACACCATTGATTATTACTGGTTTCCTACGTTGGTTACAAGGTTGAAAAGAAAAAAAATATTTTATATACATATCCATAATATTACATACTTAATAGTTGTACGATATTGTAACATGCACGTTATACAAAATCGTTGTATCACGTTGATTTGAAAATAATGAACGAAAGTTTCGAGTCTTGATTTCGTTTAACATTAACCTCATCGCGAAAACACACCCTGTACGCGGATTCGAATTTGATTTTCAAATGCATGTAGATATACGATCAGTACACTTGGAACCTAACCAAACCTATACAAAATACATGTCGGGTATGTTACGGTTTTGTTTTACCTTCAGCAATAACGAACGATTGAATTTTCTATAAAACTAATTATAATTTATAACTCATATATATATATACATATTTGTCCTGAGAAACAGCGTGTTTCACACATTTAAGCCAATTTAGAACACAACTGAACAATTGTATTTTATCTTTACAAAAGTACGAAACTCGTTTTGCATTTATCGCTAATATGGTATTGGGAAGCGACGAAATCGTAACTGCATTAAGGGACTGTAATGTAAATATTATTTTGTTATAAGCAGACGAAGAAACACTTTGAAATTGTTTGAAAAACATTATGGAGGCGGCGGCGCTGGTTGCGGTCGATAAGGTTTTAAGAATTAAATTTTCAAAAATCTGTACACAAACTTAATTATATTAATTTACTAAGTAATTTTGCTTATGGACGAGCATTCGCGCATAAATTCAAACGTAACCTCTCGTATATATAAAAGTTTTTGATGACAATAGTATACGAATTTTAGCGAAACGTATTTTTCCGAGATTCTATTTGTTCTGCTCCGTAATCAATGTGAGTTTTTCCCCTCTGAAAACGCTTTTTCGGTTAGTAAAAAATGCTCAGAAACTTTCATACTTCTATGCTACAAAAGACATGGCCTGATATTTCACCCAACACAGTGGTGATGCATTGTTCAGAACACTTTTCTAGATTCATGAATGTTTTTTTCAAACGTTTATTTTTATCAAAGTTATTTGTATTATTATTTTGAATACACAACACGGCAAAAACGACTCAGAATTGTTCGGTTTTTTTGTTCACGATGATTTGTCGTCACTTTATTTTAATTTCCTTGCCTCGGCTAGAATCAGTGGACCCTATCCTCAACGGCGACCTATTTCCTACGTCGCAAAGCGCACCCACCCCTGTTTTAAAATTTACCGCATGCGCCGGCTTTAAGATATTTAGGACACTCGAATAGTTAGCCATGGAAAACGCGTGAGCAAAAATCAAGTTCCGTTGTTTTAATGAACTCATCAAAATAAATATCATTGAGAACGAATAAGGTATACGTTCTCATAGGTATTCAGAATACCTACGTACCGAAAAAATAATATGTTTTATGTACATCAAGTATTAAACCATGCAAGTAAACCGTGTTAAGGTCGCAATTAAAAATTATGTTTGTTTTATTTATGTATACAGAGTGTATACAAAGTAGTGGGACACTAATGAAACTCTAAGCGCTGTACCCCTACACAAATTATGTTCCACTACTATCCCCCTGTTCAATCCTATAAGTGGAATATCTCGTTGACCGAAACAAAAAATGTAAACCCCAAATTGATTTAATCTAATAATCCGTTTATCCGTTGAATATATTTTAATATTTATTGACATTTTAAAATCAAAAGTATGTAGATAGGCCACTACTAAAAATAAGGTTGACAAAACATAATGATCATGCAATATTTTAGAACTTTGAAAAAAAATAATTTCTGAAAGATCGCGATGATCATATTATCTTCGTTGGACACCTTGTATATATATAACATTTGAATGGTCACTGTGATTTAATTGAATTTAGTATTCACTCCCCCCCCCTACTGTATTTTGATCCGTACAAAGAAAAACACTTATTATTCTTATGCCTAGTCATTTCCCCGTATAGAATATTAAAATATTATAATGAAGAGAATAAAATTTATTTTTTATCTGTATGCAATCATTGCTCATGAAAAAATGATTCTGAGTGAATGTTCGATTAAAAATTTTAAAACATGTTTTAATAAATACCGTTATTGTTACGATTGCCGTCAAAATTGTAACTTTAATAGCTTAGATGCATAAAAATGACTGCAAAACATTTGATTTCAATATCCATAATTTCCGATAAATTCCTGTTAAATGAACTTTTTTGCCTGCATAAAACCAAATAAAAACTAAAACAACTCGACAGTTTCAAATAGCTTAAAATAACTCGATAATAACGTCTCAGTAAATATTTAATGTGATAGTGATACTACTTATAGCATGTGCTACTGTAAGTATTCGGTGAAAGTTTCAGGTCTCTATGATTATTTCTAGCAGGATTGTAATAAAAAAAAACCATATCAAAAATAACAAAAACCGTTATAGCGTAAATTGTCCCGTTTTTCTTAAGTCTTCCTCCGAATTTTTGTCGTCTACTAACAAAACTACCAGGAATAACAAGGAAATTACGTCTCTATATAATGCACCAACTATAAATAAAATTTGCTAGCAAAAACCACTCTTTAAGTTTAGGACCGGAAAAGTAAAATAAAAACGTATTCATCCCCCACGGCCCCACGTGTCAAGTATGTTTATTGTTTAACAACAAAATGGGGTGAATGCTTTGAGTCACTCGTAGAAATATTAAATTTCAAATCATCTCTGTTAAGTGTATCCTCGGATAAAACTTAGAGCTAGTTTAGGTACGTCATATTCAATTTCCTACGCCGGAAAACTATCAATTTAAAACTAATTTTAAACGTAAATATTGTAAACTCGTATTTGAACGTAGTAATAACATTGAAATAATAATAGTATATAGCGCAGAGTAACTGTACGAAGTGTGCGGTTTTTTTTCTTTTAATGTTTTTTGAGCTAGTAGTAATAAAAACATTTAAGAGAGACGTCACGTGAATATAACAAAATTATAATCATTTGATTGAAAAGAAAAAACCGATTCCGACGTATTGTTGAATTATCATCGCATCTGAATTGCAATAAACGTACGCAAACGTTCAAAAACAATAATTATTATGTAGGTGCGATTCGTAATCACGTACTATTTTGTTACTGAGTTTTATAAATGTCATTGCAGGAGTGTTATTATTTTATTATGGCAGTAATCATTTACTAAAACGCGGAAAATGGTTAAAATAAATACGCATTAACTCTTTGTTTCGTTTACATCGGTAAAATAAAGTGTTTTTGGCAAACCGAAATGATTAATTAACTCGATACCAACTTATATTATGAATAATTGCTTCTGACATTCACGCCCGAATCTTAATGATTCGAAACTTTTTCACGTCAAGAATATTAAAACTGATTGATTGGACAGCGCTACAACTACAAGTTGAATAGTGTTGGGGTTTTTTTGTTCAACACGGTTTGTATAATAATTAACTCCAGGCGTCAATCCGCGGTGTTGAGAAAACGAAATATACAGTCGAATTATCAGCGTTAATCTTCTGAAAATCCAACCTCCAACAAACTTGATTATTATTAAATGAAATAAAACTGACGACGATAGATTCAAACCACTTTGGTTTTTTTTTTCGCTCATATAACAATTAATCGTTAGCAGAAATGGGAATTCTCAGGTGGATAAATGGAATGACGAGAAAACAAAAAAAGGAATTACTGCATACGAGTTAGGTTAGGCTTCGGTAGGTGGTTTCAATAATAGAAACAATGAAAGAAATAAACTGTGTTGTTTTGGACAGGACAATCTATAGCAGTAAGAATTGTAATGAAAATACAATTTAAAGGAAAGAAAAGAAGAGGAGGACCGAAAAACTTGTGGTTGGGAATGATACGAGGACACCCGGTGTATACGAGGTGAGAGATCAGGTCAAGTGAAAATTTAGGATAAATATGCAAGCTGACCACAATTAGTTTGGATGTAGGCGTAAGAGAAGAAGAAGAATATTCGTGGAAGGTACGAGAATAATATGTTTTGTTGTTGAGAAACGGATAAAATATTATGTCTAAAATCTTAGAGCGTATAGAAAACAAAAAAACCTTCAGTTTCTAGTAAATTTTCTTATCAAATTAATGTTTTAAAATTAAAATTATATTATATTATTTTATTGATTACGAAATAATTGGTTTTCGGGTATCGACGAACGTAATAATTGTTCAATTCGTGGCGGTAGAAATTCATTGCGTCTCAACAAAAAGTATCTCTAAATACAAATTATAATTCTAGGTTAAAACGAATGTATGCAATTATTCAATGAAATGCAATAGTAAGTAAATGATATTATAATAATATTTACAGGAAGTGATGTAGCGATAGGGTGGTATGACAAGCAATGAGCCACAGACCCATGATATGTAGGGGGCCCCCGAATCCGGGCCCAAGGCATTATTGGACAAGTGAAGACCCTTTTCGAATAACCTTTTTTTTTTTTTTAACCATCGGCATTTATACATATTTTGCCATGGGCATGAGAAGTTCTAGTTACTATCTACAGGATCCGTGTACCTAACTATCATATATTCCCGGATATCGTATACCTGACTACTGCTCGACTCCCGCGACCGCATTATGACAATTTTACCCACGCTAGAAAAAACCGAGAAAAAGCGCATCCAAATGTTCTGTCGAAATTATACGTAGGTATTTTAGTTTACGTACATATTACAGATAGTCCGATTTATTTTTTTGTCAACGACAGTCGTATGAAATAATTTGATAGACGTCATTATATTAATATAACGGACTGCAAGTGCTCGGCCGATTCCAATCGAATACGATTTCCTAAAATTTAATAACGCGAGTATATATATTTTATTATTTCCGTGTTCTTAGGAAGGAAAAAAAATATGCTAATAATAACATAATATATTTCGTGTGGTATTATGGCCATACGATATGGTTTGTACCCCGCAGCGCATTCGGGATCGGGAAAATGGAATCGATTCGACTCGAAACGAATATTATAGGTGATAGTCCACCGTATTGTTCCGGAACGCGGTACACGTTTTTTTCGGTTTTTTTCGTCACCGGTGCGCGGCTATTTATTCCGGGCAATATAAATCGATTTCAAGACATCCGAAAGTATATTATCATCTCTATGACATAATATGACGAAAATAATAATATGCGACTCGTCTTATATCCGTCTCGTAGAATACCGTGTTCCTGGCTGTGTGCATCAACTATTACTGTTATCCCTCGCCGTACACGAGACGCAATATACTAATATAATACTCGATGCTCGCGTGTATATCGTATATCATATTACGTACGCTCGATTCATTCTACGAAACGTGTCGAAAGTTTAATTTTTGATACGGGAAAAACAAACAAATTAATTTAATTTCCATGAAAACAGCAGCTAGTACTGCTGACGGGTAGACACTAGAACATATAAATCGTTACACAAACGGAAAACGATTCTGTTCGAAGTCCGGTACATAATTTTTCGGTAAATTTGATTTTAATGTATATGACTACGAAATGAATTGCCAACAATAATATTGCCCATGATGTCTGTAACCAATTTTATCGTAAATTCGCGTATAAAAATAAATAACTATATTATATAATGTACAACTTTTATTGGGAAAACTACGGGGAAAATCGATAAGAGAAAAATGAGCTGATACGGCTGATAGATTTTTCACTACTGTTATAAGAGGAAAGTTTGGAAAATAGGATGCAGATAGAGATATGATATAGAGTTATTGAATTTATACGTTCCGTACGCAATTATAACAAATCGCCACTAAAATATGATTTTGAGCAAAGTTTTGAAATTCTGCGATTTTTAGGAGTTCCGTTAAAACACGAACTTAAAAAGCGTATAAAAAAAACTTTGTCGCTCGATTTTTTTTTTTTTTTTTTACGATTATTTACGATTAATTATAAATAACATTTTCGCCGTTGCGCTCAGAACGTAAAAACGAAAGATTGGAGCAATACTCGGTACTCCGTTGATATCTATTTAGTTATTATTACGGCACCGATTACGTATCCTGACGCAACTACGCCGGAACTAAGAACGCGATGCATGAAAGCCGCTCTGGGTATCCAAACACCCCGGGCAAGTTTTAACAGCCCGGTCGCCACTGACCGGAGTCGGATACGGGTTCCGCGCGGCCTAATCGCATTCAGTATGCACGCGGATGTAAACCGTTGCCGCGGCCGCCGCCGTTCAATTTACATAAATTTCGCATGCGTACCGGTCGTCGATCGTCGAAATTCATTTCGCGCCGCGGGTTCCGGACAAAATATTATAATTAGACGGCGGCGCGTGACAACATTATTGTGACGACTGTCTAGCGATCGTTACGTATACAAAATACAATAATAATAATAATAATATTATTATTGTAATTTTGCGCGACCGCAAAAATCGTACCGACCGAGAGCGAAGGCCACGTCCGAACGACAAAACGCGATTCGCAGTGGCGTACGATAAATATGTTATTTTGCGCGCCGTGCAATTTGTTAATGGAGTCACAATAATAATGATAACAATATTATCATTATTGTTGTTACGGTTTAGCTGTTCGCGCGAGAGTGTCAGCGAAATTCGCGTTTAAATTCTTTGATTCTTGTGTATAGACCGTGCAAGGACGCCGTTCGTTTTCTAGCGACGACTCGTCGTCGTAAACGTGATGTTTTATTGTTGTTTCAAACACTGGTTTTGCGGCGACAATTTCCATGCAAAAATATTAGCGAAACGCAACGGTAGAAAAAAGGAAAAAAAAAATAAAGATGTGGACATACTTCGCACGGTGGATGGGCCACCACTGGTGTGGTTGAGAAGTTGGACAGGTTGGATATAAAGGGTAATTTAATATGGTATATATCATCTGTACGTAACGATTAACCTTTACTTACAAAAAACGATTCTGAGTGGAGTTTGGTTACACCCATGTTTTGAAAGGTCGCAGGCCGTAATATTTACGGTTTAAAAATAATAAATTTCTTTAATTTTCCCATTTCTCTTACGTCTTCTCCAATTTATTATGAAAATCATGGAAAAATCAAAACAATTACCTCTCTAAAGTACTACCCAAGTCAAATGACATTTTTAAAAATGCTAGACCTGAAATGGGAGCAAAATTTTTGGTAGAAAAAATTTCACAAAAAAATAAACATCATTGCAAAAATCACTAAACTCAGAATCTTAAAACAAATTCTCGATTTTGAATTCTGTTTTAATATAAAAGCCTTTTTAATAAGAGCCGTTTTTCCAAGTTTTCTCCGATATCGTAAAATTTGTAAATTATTTTAAACATTTTAATGAACACTCTTAAAGATAATATCCTGCTAATCTACCTCTCTTTACCCGTTTAAGAGGAAATCGTAAAGGTGCTTTTACAGACGAAAACGAATTAGAGGGAAAATCTCTCTCACCAATAATAACGCACCAATTTTTTTTTTTTTATTTGAAAAAAAACAAAACTCTTTACATTGTTATTACATCATTGAACTTAGATGTTGGATTAATATGTATTCAATATCAGAAAAAAAAAATTAAGAAATAACATAAATTGGAGTTGTTGAATTTTCTAATAATTTAAATGTTTAAAAATTTGGAATTGAATATGATCGACGAAAAGGCTTTCTCTTTCAAATTAAAAAATAATAATAATTAACCATAAAATCTAAGTATTCTACGATCCGTGAGAGTTTTCTCTTTTATGCTCTACGAAATTTAAAATAACCAAAAATACAGTTTTAAAGTTTGTAACAATATGCTTTAATACCATATATAGTTTGCAGTCTCGTAGGTATCGTTAAGCACAAAGATTTTCAGGCATTTATTACTGTGGACTTGGATTTTTTTTTACTACCCGTTATATATAAAATATTTTATGATGTCTAACCACTCACGAATAGTTGAGGTTTATCAACGAACGTTCTAAAGTTGAAATATCACTCGGTAGCAAAAAGTTTATTCGTTTTTTTTTTTGTCTTTTATACATTTTTCATAGCGCACTCACTACCACCCACCAACTTTAATAAGAACTAAAAACTTTTTTCTTTTTCTTTTATTATTTATACACATATATGTGTATACATTTTAACATTTTATATATATATATATATATATATATATATACACATATATATCGACCGAAATAGAAATTTAACACTTTAATATTATTCTATACATTTTAAATGTATTACACGTGCAGAGCACACAATTAATACAAATTTCTCATTTCTGATTTATATCTACAGACACGGACCGTTTCCGCCAAAATCTATTTTTTAAAGAGACGTTTCCATCAATTATTGTACCTAAACTCTAAATTAATACATTATTCTAATGATAATATAATTCAGTACAATCGATAGGTCAATAATAAATCAGATACAATATAACATACTATCAATAATATTTAAATGTTTAAAAAGTACATAGTAATACCTATTACAAGTAATAATTATAATAAATCGTTAGATATAGAAATACAAACATTAGTCGTATAGTATACACAATCAATAATTATGTTTATAGTACGAGTTTAAAAAATCATATAACTAAATTAAACAGTTTTAACAAAAGTGTACCTACTAAATTCATTAGACTTTTTTTTTTTTTAGTTGCTTCTTCGGTGGTTTTTAAATGACATTAAATTTTTATAATAGGTTACATTGAACTAGATCAAAATAGATTTTATATGTTATACACCTAAAAAAATGTCTAGGATAATGGGGACAGGTGCAGTCACTATTAAACGATATACGAAAAAACGATTCTGAGTGGAGTTCAGTTTATAGTGATGCTTTGTCAACAATATATGTCATTTCAGAGCAAAATAATTAAATAGGATTTATACATTTTCTTTGATAATATTTGTTTAATTTTGTACCGGTTTTCCCAATTTTCCTACGTTTTTCTCGGTTTTTCCATGTTTCATTCCGGTTTTTCGCATTTGCTGACAAAAGTCCTAAGAAAATGAAAATTATCAGTTTCAAATTTTTTTTAGCGGAAATGAAAATCGTATCTTGTTTTTTTTTGACGGGAAAGGGCTGTGGTCAATATTATTTTAACCACACCTACCTAGTACTTATAGCCATAAATTTAATAAAAAAACAGTTTGGCGAATAGGAAAAAAATATACCTTTAATTTTGGTTGTGTATGTATACACTTTAGTAAATAGCCCAAAATATTCGACTATGGAGTAGTTCTAACCCTTTAGGTATTTCATTAAGACGCATCACTAATAAGGAGTAATACAAATGAATTATTATTTATTATGCTTGTAGCGTTGAACATAAACAAATTAAAAATTATACGATTTTTAAAGTCCGTCGTTTTGTAACATATAGAATATAGATATTTCGAAATCGTGTTATTTTTCTTCATGTGGCACTTAATAATCGCCGCACTAACATCTCCTTATATTTCTCTCGATCCCGGACTAATTCTCTTCATTTTCGTACTTGCAAGTTTATGAAAATTACATCTAATAAGTATATGCATGTATAATAACATAGGAATAGGGTATATTATAAGTGTATATTTTAAGCATATATACTTAAGACCATCATCAATATTGACAACACTGATTAAGACATTAAGACGAAATTTTCTAAACAATTATATAAAATATTTTATTTTTATATCTTGGGATTTACATGATTTTCATAGGACCATCCCGTCTTATAACCAGTTCTATCATTTCTATTTACCGCCAATATCTTCTAGTTTGGTCATCTTCCGCATTTTAGATTCTGAGTGGAGCGAAGAAGCTTATGGTTTTACAAAGATGTTTATTTTTTTTTTATCTGTACCCAACTTTTTACCAGAAGATTTGCTCAGACTTTTAAGTGTGCAATCTTTTTTGAAATGATATCGGTGTGTGGAGGTACTTTAGAGAGGTCATTTTTCGAATTTCCCGAGACTTTTTCCAGCAAATATGAAAAACCGGGATAAAACATGAGAGAACCGGAAAAACGTAGGAAAACTGGGAAAATCGATACAACATCAAACAAATATTATTACAGAAAATATATAAAGCCTATTTAATCATTTTACTATAATATGGCATTTAAACTGCGGACAATATCGACTAAACTATTAACTAAACTCCGCTCAGAATCGTTTTTTCGTAAGCACTGGTTTATCGTTGCTTCAGGTATAAATTACCTACAACAGTTACTGCATCCGTCCTCGTTATTCTAGGAAGTCTTTTTTTAACCACATCTTCCCATCGCCTCTCAGTGATATTTCCCCTATTCCAGCACTTTCCTTATTGGTACTTGGTATTATATTTTCCATAAGTATCTCCAACCATTCGTAGTCTTCCTTTCGAGACAGTTACTAAAAATTTAAACACATTTAATATTGTATTTTATAAATACGAGTTTGTACATGATTTTTTTAACAATTCAGAAAAAAAAACTCCATCTAAGTATTGAAATAATTATCTGTGTGATGTTTACAAAAGAAGGGAAACAGAATATTAAACACACAATGCATTCTTTTCGGTGTCAATACTTTTAGACAATTTAACATCAAACGTATTTAAAATTAAAAACACAATATCCGAATTTTGGGAATTCGCCATTTGACGAAGTCTCGTGATACTCGAGTGTATCGAAAATTGGAGTCATATATTAAATTATTTTCATTAAAAGATATTTATTTGAGATATTCCGATTTTAACGTCTTTTTTTTTTTTGCAGAACGATGAAGACCATTTAACGAACAAACGTAAATACTTGGCCGACGACCGCTCCGACTCGGGCAAGGATTTGAAAAAAGTAAGGTTAAACGAATTTGAATGAAAATGTACTTGCAACAGTACTTAAATATACATTTTGGAAAGAAACGAAATTAAGTTAGGTATAATCGTTTAGGTATAGGTATAATTATTTACAGTGTTTACAGAAAACTGCATATTCCATTTTATTCTTTTGTTTTTGATTCTGAGTGTAGCGATGAATGTATAATGTTTACTAAGATGTTTGTTTTTCGTTAGCAATGGTTTATCGTTGCTTACAAGTATACATTAAATTACCTATAACAGTGGCTGCACCCGACGCCATTATCTTAGGACGTCTTTTTTAAAATTATTTTTTGAATACACAAGTACTAGTTTAAAAATAAAAACACTATTTTGTATGTCTTCACAACGCAATGCATTGTTAAGTGTTAGCCTCTAAAGTGTTAGCAGAAGAACTCGCATATTTCTACCTTGAAACAGGCCGAAAAGATAGTGTTCACTATTCAAATCGGTGCGTTGAATATTCACCTTTTTTAAAAATATACACTTGAATTCAGAACACTGCTTTTCTATATCGAAGTCCGTTTGTTTTTGAATGAAAACATGTTGGTACGATTATATTCACTGAAAAAGGAAGTGACGGATTTTTTAACCAGAAAAAAATTATTGATTTACCGAAGTCTATTTTTTTCTTCTTTTTTATACTTTTTTTATTCTTTTTTTTTTTAATTTAAAAAAATTCTACCAAAAACTTGATCAGATATTTACACGCTGCATCATTTCTGAGAGGGAAAGTTGTCCAGGTCCAGGACTTTTAGGAAGTCATTTTTTGATTTTCTAAGCGGTTTTCATACAATCTGGGAAAAACTAGAATAAAACGTTAGAAAAATGGGAAATTTACAAAAATAATGCTTTTGTTATTTGTTGTAAATCAGTTTAACATATTTTTCGAAACTTGAAATTTGAAAAAAAACTTATATTTGCCTTTTCTAGACATGGTAAAATTGTCAAGACATTTTTGCCATTTTTTAAGTATTTTTATAAAAATTTTAATATTTTTGTTGAAATTAATATTAATAAATATTCATATGGACTCTATGGACTTAAATTTTGGACAGAAAATTTATATTCACCTTTTCTATATGTGGTGAAATTTGAAAAAAATTTAAGCCATTTTTCAGTTATGGGAAGACATTTTAATTTTGTTCGTAATTTTTATTTGGTAGGTACTCTGTGGTAAAATTGTTTCACTAAAAAGAATGCTTGAAAATTTAACAGGTTCATTAGCGTCTTATTTTGTGGTAAAAAAAAAATTCGAATTTTATGTATTTTTTTTTTTTTATAAAGGAATTTTAATAATACATTTTGACGAAAATGAACGAAAATACGTTGGAGTAAAAACTTATGTAAAATAAATCTAATTTTTCAATATTTTTTTTTTTAACATTTGTATATTACCGATTTAAGAACGATGGTGAAATCAGAATTATTAAGCGAACTGACTAAGTTTCGAAATTATAACTTTTTGAAGTTCTGTTATTATATGGATATCATACGTTATGTCAAATAAATTTATATTATCTTTCATATAGCATATTTGGCGTGATCTAATGGTTATACAAGCCTATTATCATCCTAGGGGTTTCCAGAGATCAAAAATGGGATTTCAAACAATATTTTTTCAAATTTTTTTTCTCTTTTTTCCTAAACAAGGAAAAAACAAATACATTTTAGGTGTACCTAGACACCCAAGTCATCGTTCGCTCGGACTATTTTAATCGCAAAATACCTCTCGATTTGTTGTGCAAACGTTTCTACCAAAAATCTTGCTCCAATGTATCAAATAGAGCTTATTTCCTGTCAGTAAATTATATCTCCATGGTAAATTAAGGAGGAAAATTTTTTTATTTTTCAAGAAGTTTTCATAATATCTGAGAAAAATTGGGATAAAATGTCGGAAATTGTACGACATGTATGTATTAGTAAAAATATATTATGGCCTTTTTTTTCTGTGTACAACTTATCTATCAGTAATTTTGATCCGGTTCACAATGATAGCATTTTTGAAAGTTAATTTGACTGGAAAGGTACTTTAAAAAGATCATTTTTCGATTTTCTTCAGAGTTTTCCCAGCAAATATGAAAAAACGGGAAAATAATACAATATTAAACAAATATTATTAAAGAAAATATATGAAGCATATTTAATTATTTTACTATTAAACGGCATATATATTGTTGACAAAGCATCATTATCAACTGAACTCCTCTCATAATCGTTTTTTCATAAGTAATGTTTTATCGTTGCTTACAAGTATACATTCAATTGTCTATAACAGTTGCTGCACCCGTCTCCATTATCCTAGGACATCTTCTCTTTTTTTTTCTTTTTTAATAAATTCTGAAAAATTTAAATTGTAATTAAAATTTTAATAGTTATCTTAATATAATAACATATTATACGAGGGTTGTCCCAAAAGTAATGCACAGCGCGCTCTAGCTGTTTTGCAATGTGATATTATCAGCTGATTTTAGTATCAGTTTGTAGCTTGAAGTCTAACGAACACGTGCGTTTTCAGTTTTAGTTGTTTTAGTAAAGTATGATGATGTGTGAGAGCGACAACTAAAGTGAGAACAATTCGTCGGCTCACATTTCTGTTTTTGAGCAACGTGCATACATTAAAATCGAAACGATTCGTGGTAAAACAGTGCCTGAAATTCATGCCGCGTTAAATGAAGTGTGTAGAACGGATACTGTGGATCGTAGTACGGTGCAAAGATGGCATCAGCGATTCCGTGATGGTCGTATAAGTATTGATAACAACCCTCGCTCTGGCCGACCCTCTACGGTTACTCAAGACAACACTAACGCGGCTATTCTCGCAACTCTACTCGATGAGACTTGGATCTGTGATTTTGAGCCGGAATTAAAATCTCAAAGCAATATTTGGAAGGGAATAACATCACCAAGAGCAAAAATGGTTTGTCGCCAGCAAACAAAGGTGAAACAAATGATGATTTTTGCTTACATTAAACTTGGGATAATTGTCACTGATCGAGTTCCAATTGGCAGTAGTGTAACCGGGGATTACTACAAAACATTCCTTGCCAAAAAATTTCGACCAGAAATCCGTAAAAAGCGACCAGGAATGTTACAAAATGGTGTGTCTATATTGCACGATAATGCGCGGCCACATATCGGAGCACCAGTCGTCGCTCTTTTGGAGAAATATGGATGGGAACGCCTCAAACACCCACCGTATTCGCCGGATTTAAGTCCCCCGGACTTTGATTTATTTCCAAAACTGAAGGAACCACTTAGAGGGATCCGTTTTCCCAACTTAGATATACTAAATGAAGAAGTGAGCCGAAGGATCCGTGAACTCAATAAAGATGGCGTCCTATGCGGCATTCAAGCGCTCCCGAAACGATGGCAATCGTGTATAGACAAGCAGGTAGATTATATCGAAGGTCTATAATATTGTATTTAGTTTAAAATAAAAACTTATTTATTCAGAGCAAATTGTGCATTACTTTTAGGACAACCCTCGTAGTATTTTTTGTGGAGTACATATTCATATTTTATTTCCACCGGCACGGTAATTAATATTTAAACATAATAATAATAATAACAGATGTTTATCGAAAAAAAAGGTTTATCAAATAAATAATTGTTTACAATTAAATAACGTAACCTTCCGTTTGTTTTTTAACTTTTTTTTTTTTATGCAACCAAGAATGCATGAAGCGTTTACTAATTTTCTCGAATCTCTACAACCATCATCGTTATTGCATATCTGTGATACTTCCCCACAGTGAATTCAACTGTTTTATTTATTTAAAATATGTTTACTCCCGGAACGCTTGAGTGCAGTTGAAAACACCATAATAATGTTTCATAAATAAGTTCTCGTAAATTTCTATAATTTTTATTTTAGTTTATTCAGTCTCTAAGAACAATTTGTGGTCTCAATGACAATCCCCCATGCAGTTATTCGTCGTCAAAATCTTTCGATTCGGGCTACCTCCTAAAGCAACTGCGTTCTTTTTTACTGAGAGTTCCCATCACCTCGTCCCTTAGTCTTCCCAGAGGTATTTCCCCTAATATATTAGGTTTAGCTGTTTCAGCACGACTGGTAGTAGTGATGGGTTATGACTTCTCCATGCAAAAAGAAAGACCCCTTTTTTTATGATCTCTAAAATATTATTTTCTCCGAACGTTATCCGTAAAGGTTGCCTTTACCGGTCCAGAGATCTTTCGTCATATATTTTTCTTAAGATATATTTTATTTGCCTTCGTTTACCTCGGTGATAAAGTTAAACGATTCCAATACCTATAGAATATTAAAAAAATAAAAAAATTGAAAAATTTACGACTCCAAGAATATAAGAATCTTTAATAAATAAAATAAAAATAATAATAATATACGAGTAGGATGTTTATTTTATTTTTAGATTTTCAGTGGGATGAGGAATGTACGAGTATTTATGATGTGCGCGGATTTTTTTTTTTTTACCGTGGACAACCTTTTTACTGAAAAGTTTGGTTCAATCGAAAAATAACATGTTTTGTTCCTTTTTCTAGTCGGTGCATTTAGGAAGTCATTTTTTTTTTATTTTCCAAGTGGTTTTCATAACAATTGGCAAAATCGTAGAAAAACATGAAAGTTTACGACAATTAATGGTTTCATTATTTTAGATACTCTCAAAATTTATCCATTTTTTATGCACATTTATAAATGTAAACTGTATATGATGTAACGATATGTGTCGATATAAAGTGTGTCAGTATAAATCCGTTGAACGATTGTATCTCATTCAAAAAATCAGTGACGTATACATAACTTTTGCATGGTAGAGAAGAAGATTAATGGCAAATAATTTATTTTAGTTTATTATAAATATACGTTATGTACAAACAAAAAAATCAATGGGACAGGATGATCTGATCACAAAATATTTTATACGCCCCCTTGTTCGCCATTCACTTCGGAGACGCACATTTTATCCTTTCGATTTATAGATTAAACATTAATTTTGATATTTACTTATTGATGTTTGTTTGCTAGCACACATGTTTATTTTCCCTCGAGGTTTCGCTTTGCCGTTGCGTTTTCCCGCGACGGCCATGCCTATAATACTTAACGAAATAATCTCGCGCAAGTTTTGACTGTTAACTGTTCCGGATTAAAATATATTGTTTATCGTACATCATATCGCATCATTTTTGTATGATGAATTCATTGAAAGTTTACGTTTCAATTATCATCGCACATCATTCAAAAATATAATACGCTTGTATCTATATACGGAATTTAGAAGAAAAAAAACTGTAGCGCGAAAAATTATATTAGCGCTGTCCATTAAAATGAATCACTCGAATCTTCTCAATCGTCTATCATCAACGCGTGTTTTATTAGATACAAGATAAATAACACACTTTTATCTAGATGAAGATAAAAGATTTAAAATTGTTTTCAAGATAAAAATAAAGAAATTTTTTTGTATGTTTCAACACAGAGTTAAGTAGAGCCATATGTTAGAATGTTATCGTTTATCAATTAAAAAGTATTAAATTGAATGTCAGTAAAAATAGCCATATCCTTTCCTTAGACGGGTATCGAGCAGTAGATTAGTAGAACCGTTCTATCAATAAGATGATTATTGAAATGTCAAAAAAAATTTTCAAATTTTACAAAATCGAAGAACATTTTGAAAACTGACACCGAGACCAACACCAAACAATATAAAAGTGATTAATAGTTTACTTATACATCTCTTATAAGTATCTGTAAAAACAATTTTCATTCAAATGTTTTGTAGTAAAATCAGTAATGTTTTGCTTTTTTAAAACTACGATAATATTTAAATTATTTCGATGTTTTAAAAAAACTTCTTAATATAAAGAAAATAATAATAAAATGTTTTATACAACAATAATATTGCAATAAATTCCAATTAGTTTTAAACGAGTTGTATTATATAGTATTATTAGTCATTTTTTTTTTGATTGTGCGTATTAGGTTAGCACAACTACCAAAAATTGACAAAAAATATAACACAAGTTGTCTGTTTTGCTCATTTATTGAGAAAACTATAAAGGAAATTAAAAAATGATCTCCTCTAATGCACAAACAAAAATTATAGTAAAACCAATAAACTTAAATGAACATATTATTCTAATTTTTCAAAGAGCTTATTAATAGTATAAACCCGTTAAGTCTACTGCACCTGTATGTCGATACATGATTATAATAATATATCATGATGTCCGCGTGTAAATTCGAGAATTTAATAATCTGCAAGTTTTGTATAATATTCATATCCTATAATAATAACATTAAAATCGACGATGAAGGTCAACAAATTTCGTAGGTACCAGTACGTAAGTACCTAACTCGTGTGGCCTTTAATTTTTGTCACGGACAGTTTTACACTAAATTACACTGATTTCGAAATAAACGAACAATGAAACTGCATTTCGATACGTCGGAATACGATGCTATTTTGCAGTACCGATACACGTAGTAATATATTGACAATGTCTATTCTAGAGATAGTATAGGTTATTATTGTTTCATAACATACGAAAAAAACGCCCGTTCTCGTTTGCATCGTACATTTCAATACATATATAAAGTCGACACTCTTCACATTTTCCACCGTGGCGCACACAGAAATACGAATACAATATAATATTGCACCTGCAATTGATAATATGCTTACACTAAACGCGAAAAATGTCTGAACTATATTTCATTTAAATACATTATAATATACGTACCCAAACGTACGAGTAGTAGCACGTTGAAAAATAATGCTATGATTTTTTCTATTTGTTTTTATTTAGTTCCCACCCCTCCCCCCTATCGTCTTTGTATGGATTATGTATTTATTATGTTTATTAATTTTTATAACTATATTATTATGGTTTATGGATGCCTTTTTATCAGCTAAAAATTTCAATTTCCCCTCTCCTTCTTCTGACCATTCAAAATAACGGTCGCACCGGTTTTCAGTTCTGATATGAAAAATATCATGTATGTTTTGTATCAAAAATACTCAATATTGTATTTATAGTTTATGTAGGTATGATATAGTAGGTATAATATGATAGATGGTTCATATTCTCTGCAATATTTACTATGGCCGACAATTTTTATCAATGAATAATAAATAATTTTAAAAAAAAACCGATTTTACGCTTGAACAACGTAATTACCGTCAGAAAAAAGATTTAGTATGATTACGTATACCAACAAACATAATCGTTCGAATTTTTCAGGCCAAGTTGGAAACCAAAGCTTTGAAAGCCAAACGCCCTGGATTCACAGACGAACGATACAACGAGACATCTTACTACATCGAAAACGGTAAGAGGAAAAAAACAATAGCCGTAAGGTCGAAAGTAGTCCTGCTATAATATTACTTTAAGAACTCACCTGATTAAAATATTGTTCAACGTTGTTTTTTCGTTAAATTTGTAGGCTTGCGAAAAGTCTATCCGTATTATTTCACGTTTACTACGTTCACCAAGGGCCGATGGGTAAACCAGAATATACTGGACGTGTTCGCCAGAGAGTTTAGAGCACATCCCGCCGAGGAATACGTAAGTATAATTTTATTATTTTCATCGCGGGAAATCGAAAATAGCAACAATACATGTTATATTTTGTAACTTATTAATACTTTATTTTCGTGATTTCGCTGGCACTACTGTAGGAACGTTGCATAAAAACCGGTTCGTTGACGGTAAACTATCAAAAAGTGGACACAGAATACAAACTGAAGCACAATGATCTACTGGCTAACGTGGTGCACAGGTTAGACCTTTTTGTTATTTTTTATTTTTCACCCTTAAAGGAAATATAGGGTGGGACAGTAAAATGGACGATGTAAAAATAATTATCGGTGGAACTGTACGAGATCGATTGATGCAAGTGTACTACAATGGAAAAGTTACGTTCTTCATACCTAAGCATTTTTTTTTTATCGGAAACTTTGTGATACAATTAGCTTCGAAAATTTATTTGGTATGGTTTACATAACAACATAAAAGAAATACAAAAATAATTTTCGATTTTAAGACCAGACTGGTTGATAAAGGAGATCAGAGAAGTAATAATAATTTATATTATTTGTGATGAGAAAACTAGACTGAACATTAAAAGGGACATTTTAAGAGGTTATTAAGGTACATATTACGTTGAAGAGTAAAATAAGGACAATGGAAGAGAACGTGAGTGATGTCACTGATTGCAGCAGCCTTAGTATGAAGCGATTACCTTTAATTAGTACCTAAACATTTTATTAACCATGAATCTTTAAATTATGCAAAAATACCTTGCGTTCGCTACAAAAATTTAGGTAAGATTTAATCGGTTACCGATTAATTTCTCGTAATGAGTATATTTCTTGTGACCGTGCCCCCTTCCCGTCCATTGACCGCCCGATTTACCAACTTAAAATTTTTTTCTACAAGATTATATTAAGATTAGAGTACACCAAAGAACGCCAGGGGCGATCTCAAACAAGAATGCGAGAAGAAGCCCAAATCTATCGGCTTTGACGAATGCTTGCTTCGAGAACGATTAAAACGAATAAAAATCTAAATACAAAATTAACGCATTCTTATTGAAATTTTACGTACATTAAGGTGATAAATTAGTTTTAAAGACTTAGATTTATTTTTAAATCGTCGTTTTCACTGCCCTCCTCCTTAGTTTATCCGGCTATCGCTATACATTATTAGTACTTACTATAATTATCCAGTACTAAGGGAAATCGATGAGGTTAGCTATAGAATTACACGTGTCACATTTAGAGAGGGGTGAGGGAATCTTCTGTTAACGTATTATGTTATATGAAAGAAATGGTTAGCCTAGAAAAAAAATTAAGTCGACTTTGTGCAGCGTACATACAATGTTTAATTATTTGCGTGCGTGAGTGGGATTTTAATGAAAAAGTTAACATAATATTATTATTATATTCCAAAAAGATTGTCTTTTTTTTCGACCTTTGCGATATGAATACCGCATATTTTTAACAAAAAGACGTGGGAAAAAAATCACATTTGGTTTTTACAGTGTTACAGGGCAGTTCGTATAATGTATGTTACATATAATATTAAAAATTCTGAGCTGAACAAAAACGGCGTATAACTCCTCTCCATTTTCGAACTGCAATAAATACGGCCCCTTAAAACTTTTTTTATATTTAGAAAAACCAATATAAATAAAAACGAAAAAATATATTACTGCTGGCAGATACCTTGCTAGTATACTTAATGCAGCTACTAAACATATTATATCTACTGCATATAAAATAATAATATACTTTTTTTTACTATTTTGAAATTGTTTTACTTACTATCCTTATACACTTTTATAGAAAAACTGTTTATAATCTAAACACTTCCTAAAATAAAATACTACCTGGTGAAATATCCGCATTTTTTTATGCGAATAATTATTTGGCTTACCAAAAAAATGTTTTGAAAGAAAACAAATACTTAGAAAGCGATTTTTCGGAAAAAGTATAAGGAATTTCGAAAATTGTATCGAATAAATAACCATCAGACGAAACATTCGTATCTCCTAAGATACGGTATGAAAAAATTGATACTACTTTTATAAGTCGAAAAGAGGTTTTCTATCATAGTACATCATTATAGTAAAAATAAAATACGACGTCCGTATATTAATGTAATAAAAAAAAAAAAAAAATGGCTCAAACTATTATCGACCGACCAATGCACAATTAATTCGAATTGATTATAACATAAATTAATATAGTCGTTTTCATATATATATAGTCTCTGTCTATATACGTATACTTTAATAAACGACCGTGTTATTATAATCATTTAAAATCTCTTGGTATTTATTTTAAAAATCATCCAATTACGCGATTTGTTTTTTTATTTTAATTTTTTTTTTTTGTTATAACGACGACAGTCTTAATTCATTGTTTAAATATAGTGCGCGCCAAAATTAAGAAAGTTTTTTTTTTCGTTTTTTCTATGCAATAATTACTCGCGGTCGTTTTAATGTTAGGAATTATTATATGGTTTTCTTTCTCTCTGTCTCTCTCGACGTTCCATGGTATATTAAATCGTCGAATTCGATAATAATGATGATAATATATTAATTAAAATCGCGTGGTCACTGAACGCGAAACGGGGAGATCGATTATAATACGCGTACATATATAATAGGTACATATTGTTTCTGATACCCTCGAAAAATGTCCAAAATTGTTTTAAAATACCCGTCAATCATGAACAGTATATAAATCATAATAAAAGAAAACGGCATTCCCCGCGGTACTAGCTCTTTTTTCCGTTGCTCCGGGGCAGAATAAACATACATATACATATTAGGTTAGGTACCTAACCTAACTTACACAGAGGGAAAAAAAAATTTAAATAAAAACTATAGGTCCCATGCTTTATGGAAAAACTCTCATGCCTCGTCCAATTTCGATGATTATTATTTATTTGTTTTTATTTTGGAAAGAGGAAGACTTCCTGGGACCGTATTGAACTCTTTTTTTCAATATTTTTATCTCAAACTGTATTGTTTGTCTTTAAAAAGGTCAATTTTTAACTGTTTTTACAAACTTTTTTTACCATTATTTGAAACCAAATGAAAAATCAGAGGTTAATGTGGTCCCATAGAATATAATTATCGATTTAAAAAGAAAAATTAGACAAATATTATATTAACAATGATTTATTTATATTCCCGCGTGATCATTATCGTCCGTAAAAACAATCGTACCCCTTCCACCTAAATATGTCTCGGACAATAGGTTAGTGGATAAATATTATCTTTAAGGTGATCAATATAATATTAAAAATAATATTCGAATTACACAAAATTTAAGAACATTTAGAAAAATCTGCACTTGTCCCCTTAATAGCATAATGATCGAATCTAGGAGAGTTATTCAAAATGTCTAACATAAATATTTTGTTAGCCTCAATTATAACACTTTTTCATTAATCAAATATAGCCTAAAAATTATTATAATATTTAATTTCGACCATAATCTTAATATAAGTCCGTAATAATATAACTTTTTTTTTAAATTTCACCATTTGAAATATAAACCTTCGTAAACAGTGGTTGACTATTTGGGTGAATACTCCAGTATTCCACTCATTAAAAACAATATAATTTTAACAAATTTTTTGTAGACACGAAGTACCGGTGACCAACGAACCCATCACAATTGTTCACATGGACGACGACATCGTGGTGGTCAACAAACCAGCGAGCATTCCGGTAAGTTGACCTGTATACAATATTATCAAAAAAAATAAAAATAACTTTAAGACAGATCAAAAGTCAAAAACTAAAAAGGCTTATTTTGCTGATGGATATGCCACTGTTTTAAGAGAAAAGTTGGGTGTGTAAAGTAGTTTAATTTATATCCGTACGCAACGATGAACTAATTAAAAATGATTCTAAGTAGAATATTATTAGTTGTCCTTTCCCTTTTTTCCAGTGTTACTCAAAATTAAAACTAAGTATACTTAAAATGTTCAGTTTTCTCATTTATTAAGGATAATACAAGGAAAATAAAAAATATCCCTCCTCCCAAATTCACTAAGCAAAAAATACTATAAGAATGTTACTACAAAGTTTTTAATTGGAGTAAAATTTCTGGTAGAAAGGTTATTTATACACACAAAATAGACTCATCATAGTAAACCCCATACTTTCATTGTTTTGCTCAGAATAAAAAAAAAAGTATAATCAAATTCCAAGTTATTACCTATTATAGTTATAGCGTGGTAATATTTCGTTAAATTTTTGTATGTAGGGGTATTTAAAACCCTGTTTTCTCAGTGAAAACATGAAATTCGAGCATAAAAATGTTTAAGAAAGGAGATAAAAGTTGAAACTTCCAAAAGGCTAATCCTTATATCAGTACTTACATCATGTATTTTTCTTGATAAAACGCGCCCTCTATCGGACAGGTGCATCCATGTGGCCGTTACCGGCACAATACCGTGGTGTTTGTGTTGGCCAAGGAACACAATTTGAGGAATCTCAGGACTATTCACCGTCTGGATCGGTTGACCAGCGGTCTACTAATGTTTGGTAGGACTCCCCGGTACGCTCGCATCATGGAAGCCCAAATTCGCAACAGACAGGTGAACAAGCAGTACGTGTGCCGAGTTGAGGGCAAATTTCCCGAGTAAGTATAATAAATAATTAAACTTATGAACGATAACACGTTTTTTTAACATATGTATAATAATTATTCTACCACCATAGTTATAGGTAAGTCATAGGCGTATGACCCTCTAAATATGCTCTAAACAGGCATGAAATTCTTAAAATATAAGAAATAAAAATTGTATATATGGGTAATGAAACATATTTTGATATAACCAGGGACGGATCAAGAATTATTTTATAGGGGTACCATACGCTGCTAAATGATTATTCGGTATAAGTAATCATCACACAAATTACTTTTTTTCAATAATACTTACCAAATAACAAAACAAACCTGACCAAAATGTAATCATCAAAAAATTACTAAATTACTAAGTTGTATTATATACTATAGTCTATAGAGTATAGGTATTGTAGACTTCATTTTAATCATTCTTCTAACTAGTAAATTCATCTTTCTATTAATTTCATTATTATTATTATTCCATAAAGATGATAATAAATAATGTTTTACTGATAAAAAGGCCAAGAGGGTATATACCACTCTACTATATCCATCCCTGTACAAAACAATCCTAAATCTGCTCGTTTAACCAAGCTACATTTTAACTAATCGATGAAAACATGCGTAATATAATTTCCAATATAAAAAAAACCAGAATTATCGACTGACACTAGGCCGGTGTCATTGTATTATTTAGCGTGACGCATAAACTCAAAAGTAAACTTGATCACATTAAATAATACCCTCTAAACCGCATCAGAATACAATAGATTGTTTATTACACGTGCTGAAAAAGAGGACCACAAGTAGATAACTAATCGAGGCATAGTAAGGTGATTTATCATTTACTTTTTATTAAAACCATGAAAGCTCGTCATTTTAAAAATATATTATCCTTATAACGGATGATTAACGAATGCATTGGTTTAGTGTCTGTACCTGTATACACATTTAGGTTTAAGAATTTTTTCGTTTGATATTTCTGAAAAAACAAAATATTTTAATATCTACCTTTACCATATAATAATATAGACAAACGATCGAGTGCAATCAACCAATCGAGGTAGTCAGCTACAAGATCGGTGTGTGCAAGGTGTCCAACAAGGGCAAAAGTTGTTCAACGACATTCCAGTTGGTCGGTTACAACGAGAAGACTAACATCAGTGTGGTGTTGTGCTTCCCTCATTCGGGACGTATGCACCAGATCAGGGTACATCTACAATACTTAGGTAACGCATCCATTAAACTATTGTTATATACTCTAATATTAGGATTTTTTACGTTAATTCGTCTATTAAAAACTAACAATTAACAAAATAGTTATTAAAACTAAATTGATCGTTATAAATAAAGACCTATAGATAATAGATAAGTCCTACAAGATTGTGATAAAATCAGATATGTTGTATGGTTTAGCGTGTTGAGCGGTAGACAGAAAAATAAAGAAAAAAATGAGTATAGCAGAGATGAGCATACTTAAGTGGATGAGTGGAGTGACGAGTGAAGTAGAATAAGAAATGAGTACATAATATGTAGCTTAGCTGCGACTTCGATAGTGGAGAAAATGAAAAAAATAAACTGAAATAATATGAGTTTGAGAAAAGAGATGCAGAAGAAGACCGAGAAAGTGGTGGTTGGATACAATTGAGAATGATATGAGGACAGCGGTTGTATGCAAAAACGATATGAGGGATCGGGTTAAGTGGAAATTTCGGACGAGGGTGATCGATCTTAAATAGGTGGAATGAAGGCGAAGAAAAAGAAACAATCGATCGTTGTAAAATATTCTAAAAGTGTGTTTGAATTATGTACACAAAAGTAAAATTTTAAAAAAAAATTGATTTACGTCAGTAATGTGACTCGTTGCATTTCTTATTGTTTGGCCCAAAACGTCTGAACGAATATGTTTAGCCACTTCTTCAAAACAGGTATCTTTCTAGATGTAAATAATTATATGATTAATACGTGAGCAAAAAAAAAAAAAAAAAAAATTAAATAATTTAACACGCGCGCGCAAACTACACAAGGTTAGTAATTTAACAAGAGTCAATATTCTTGCTCGGATTGGTGGTTTTTCCCGTAATCAGCTCAAACCTCTTATTATATTATTGACCGTAGTATAATTTCTGTTTTAGAAATCCCTTTTCGTAAGTATTACTCATCCAACGGGGCAAGACCTTATACCTTATACCTTATACCTTATAAGGTGTGACGATTTCGGCACATAATCATAGCATATGGCATCTTATATTATTATTGTATATAAGTGTGACAATGTTTATAGGTTATCCGGTGAAAAACGATCCTTTGTACAATCACGTTGTGTTCGGACCGGACAAAGGCCGCGGTGGAATTATCGGCAAGTCCGACGAGCAGCTGATCCACGACTTGATAAACATTCACAATGCTGAAAACTGGTTGGGCATGGACGGCGACTCGGACTTGATGCCCATAATGAAAGATGTAGACGTCGTCGATGACGGGAAAAAGACACCGCCGGGTAAGGAGATAAAACACAATAAATTCTAAAATACTCTTACAATAAATATGTAAAACTCATGAACTGCCGAGAAACAAGTTTTTTTTTTTTCCTATACTTGTTCACTTTTTCAAACGTTCTTAGTCGGTTTTTGTTTCACGTCTTTTTCTCTAAGGGATTTACTTTAATACCGTTATCACGATTTAGCGGCATACAGAAATTCAAAAATTACTACATCGATTGAATACACGTTAAATATTTTACATTAAAAACGTTTTCCGAACAATTGTGAAAGCATCTTTTTTCTTCCTGGTTTTATCAGGTCTTATAATATTTTATTTCCCCGAAGTAAACAGACTGACAAAACAAAATTACGTTTATGTTTAAAAAGTTAATTTTTTTTCTCTGTAGTTTTCTGACATACGTGTAATTAATTTTTTACACGTTAGTTAAGCAAGTCTGAAAAACGCAAAATTGCATTAAAATCATAATGCATTTACATTATATACACGTTAAACGTTGTAAAAATTTAAAACAGTGTTTTTATAATATTTAACACGCTTATATAGCAAAATATAATACGCTAGACCTTCAACAAGTTGTCCTATTTATCACACAAAGGTATCATTATTTTTTTTAACGACTGTCGCCTAGAGTGATTTCTATTAACTACGTTTTTTTTTCACCACTAACGCGTTTTAGCGTTACGCTTTTGGATAATCTCCAAAATCCGTGAGACATAACATGTAATTACTTATAAATACGTGAATCTTCGTTGTTGTGCCGAAAAAAAAATATGTTACTAAAACAAACGACTGTCTGGATTGAAAATCGTCTTCGCTATTTCATCATAACTCACAAATTACTAAGTTATATAGAATTTATATAATTTTAAAAAAACCGTGTGCTCAAACAACAAATGAAATAATACTATTATTTGATAATTATATTACATGACTATACTGTTAGAATAATACATAGTAATTATGTTCCTGTTTTTTTTTTTTTGTCAGATAAAATTATTTAAAAATGTTGAAATTCAATTTAAATTTTATCGGTTCGAATAAGAATACATTAACAAATAAACTTCAAAACTGAACAATTTTGAAGGTAAATAATATTATTTTCTAAATCGTTTTATTACGATAAATCCGTGTAAACTTACGCGGATTTTCATTTTTTTTTCTTGACGATACGCTATTATAAATTATGCAACGGCGCGTTGTGTAGGCAATATAATAACTCTCGCGTGTGTAGCGCCATAGAAAATCCAAACATTTTTTTAACCGACTAGTGTGGTTTATTATTATTGTTCATTCAAACGAACAGTGTATTTACAAACCCTGTCCTAGTTTTCACCATACACTATAGTTTTAGGTTTACACTTAGGACGCTAACTTCCTTGGAACAATATCAAGTTTGGACCAACATGCAGTATGCAATATTTTTAAATTCCTAAAACTCTTAAAATCAACTCCGTTTTCGTCTTGTGCTGAATTCAGATAGAAAGTCTGTAAATGGGGCTCATCATTTCAATGCCAACAATTAGTTTTCTGAATTAGTATTAAATGATTTAAAATTACATATTATAGATTATATAAAATAATATTTCTCGTATCATAAGATCAACTCACGTCTCCTTCCCTACCTCTTGTATGTTTACACATCCGTAATTCTAAAATAAAATTACAAATGTGTTGAAAATTGTTAAGTTATTAAAATTTAATAAGGTATTTTTGGAAATAATATAATACATTTTTTAAAAACAAAGAACTTTAAAAATTAATTTGTATGTTAGGTGGCTAATTTGTATGAAAGTTTGTGCATTTGACTTTTTAAACATTTTCTCTAATAAAAACTTTGCCGAGACAATTACGAATACAATAAAAAAAAATCAACAAAATCGGTCAAGCCGTTCTCACGTGATGCGATGACCAAGGGAAATAGGGAATCATTTTTAGATACATAGATGTATTTATTTATAACAAAAAAAAAAAAAAACAAACAAACAGATTAACCGTTTAATTTACGAGAGAATTAACTAAATGCTTAATTAAAGTATTCCCACGGAACCAAATAGAAACCCGAAAATCGACTCCTCTCAGAAGCTAAAAGTTCCGAATTTCAATCGTGAGCCCCGTATTGAAGTTTAAAAATCCGTCTTCTTGATGTTATCTTCTGTTCACAGACAACTGATCAATCGTGTTCAAAATTCTAGATCTCTGCGTGATTTTTTATCAATTTTATTCCATACTTCCGCCGAGTATTGCCGTATTAACTGTTGAGCGCTATAGGCCCTGTACCTAGAGTCATCAAGAATAGACTAAAATGAAAGAGCTTATCCGGAAAACAAAATATTTTATTTATTTACAATTAGCTATTAAATTTTAGGGCAATGCGGTAAGGAGTGTATTATTATTATTATTGTCGATTACAGTGTCTCGTTATATGATTATAGTTACGTCACAATATAATATTATGCATTAATAATAATAGTAGGCGCAGTCAAAATAAACCGTAAGCTCGATAAAATTGTTTTCAAAAGTACGATATAAGAGTATATACTATATGAAAGGCGATTTTTTTTTTAAATCAGCCCCTAGGGTCTATGGTCTACGGATCCAGCTCGGAGTTCAATATCGTTTTTTTCGTTGATGTTGGTCTTTTAATTTCTTAAGAAAAATTATACAACCATCTGTCTAGAAATTTGTTTTCAACAATGAACGCCTGCAGAATATTAACAAAAAAAAAAAAAAAAAATAAATAGATTACATAGAATATAATAACTATAATTTCGTTATCCAGTGAAATTATCAATAGTAAAATTTAAATCAACTAACGAAAAAATCGTTTGTTGTTTTTTCCGGCACGAAAGGTATGAAAAAAGTCGAACCATTGATCGTCGAACAACGGCCACAGCCTCAGACAAAGGCTAGCCAAACGGTTCGTCCCTCATATGACCACGCGCTGAATGCATCCACGCAGACCGGACAGGACGGGCCGGACACGGATTTCGACGAAGAAAAACTCACGCAAGATCTTCACTGCTACGAGTGCCGTGTCAAATTCAGGGACCCGAAACCGAAAGACCTCATCATGTTCTTGCACGCTTGGAAGTACAGTGTAAGTACCTATAACGTTAACTCTACTTTGAACCACGTGGGTTAACCGAGATAACGCGATTTAATCCGATATCGTGATCGAGCATCGTAATGTTTACACGTTTAGCATCTATATATGCCTGTGTAGGTAACGGACATTTCCTGATTAAATTTAAAAAACGTACTTGTATAATGTTATAACAATTAAGTGGCGTACCTATACGTGTCAAATGCAATAACTGCAGCGCTGTCTTATGGTCTATTTTTGAACTAATCAAAAATCGACGGGTACGCGCTTTGGATATCCGGGGTAAGAATAAGAATTGTACAATGTCCCTCTCACCAGCAGCATGCGGGAAAGGGAGAGGGCGATTCAGGATTATATCCCTTCCCCCTCCTATTTGCTGAAAATATAACAACTATGCGTATTTATTTAGTAATTTAATCTCGAAATTTATATTTTCCAATCTTGATTTATTGAACAGAAATTGGCACTTTTAGAATCGGTTTGTCCGGCTTTTAGGCATTTCCCATGTATCGGATTAGATACATATAGAAGAATATTCTACGACTTATTGACGATTATAAATTACTGTACGTCCCCTCATGTTGAAAATTTCTGGACACGCCACTGGCTCTACTACCAGGTCTACGCCTAAGTGATTTGAAATGTTCGAGTACCTATAACATTATATGTATGCTCGGAACTATTGACGTTAGAAAACGTATAACAGAAGCAGACAATAACATTAAAAATCGCATGTTTGTGAAAATTAATCAACTCGAAATATTTAAATTCACGATTATTTATACGATGTACGTAATACAAACGTTATTAAAAAAAAAAAAAAAAAAAAAAACACGTATAGAATTACGTAATTGGTAGCACGGCGAGTATAATAAAATATATTTCGTTTCTTTTGAATACGAAACGTGATTAGGTATTTTTTTTTTTTAATTTGTACATGAAATTCGTTCGTAAAACAATCATGCCCGTGGGATCTCCGCGTTAAAATCTGAACGTTCGCAATACAAAAACGTTACAATATTTCTTATTCGCGGCGTTTCATTGCGTTTTTCTGGGACGCAGTGAACAGCGAGAAAATTATTAAACTCTCTGAAGTATATTTCGCGTAAAGTTCGTTGTGAAACGTTTCGAGCGCGTTTATTGTGCAGTATTTAATATGCCAAAAAGTGTTTCGTAAAAATAAAAACTGTAAGAATAATTTCAAAAAAAAAAAAAAAACGCACAGTACCGTTTATAAATTACATACCTAGGCCTTTCTTACGAAAAGAGGAGCGAAAAAAAATAATATTTTTAACGGTTATTAATGACAAATTATTGTAATAATAATATTTTGTTTGTGTGCGTGTGTTCGCAGGGACCGGGTTGGAGTTACGAGACGGAACTGCCCGTGTGGGCGAACGTCGACTGGATGGAACCGGAATAAATGCAGTGGGACAGCTGACCTGGGATGAATGACTCGAAACAAACGAATTCGTAATCGCAAACGCTTATTCCGACGACGATCGGTTTTTTTTTGTTATTATAATTTTTTTTTTTTTTTTCGAGTAACATTTAAGGTCCACTCTATCGTATACGCAAATTATTATAGCAAAAACAAAAACAAACTATATTATTATAATAATATTTTATCTCCTCTGTGTTGAGTGTTGTAGTATATATTACATAATATTATACTCGTACTTACTTTAATAATTCGGCATAACGATAAAAAAAAAAAAAAAACGAATGGTCGACTTTATTTTCTGTCCTTTATTATTATATTATATATATATATATATATATATACATATTTATCGTTTTGTGATAAAAAAATAATAATAATAATAAATATTAAATAATTATCATTTCGAAAGAAAATCCTTACTTCTATATACTATATACGTACTTAAAATACTTACATATATTTACATACTTACTCACATATTTACGTTTGAGGTGTTATGTTTTTCTAGAACATTTACACGTCTCAACGACGCTAGGTACACTATAATAAAAAAAACTTATAATACATTGCAATCGTAATAAAATATTACGATTATATTAATAATCGAATACTCTTTAATCGAAAAAAAAAAATACATTCTTTTATCGAACACCGTACACGTTATACTTACACGCGTGTCGTCTGCAAAAGTCTATGTATATTATGTGTTTTTCTTAACTTTTGACGAAAAACAAAAAAAATAAAATACATAAAGGATACAGTAAAATTAACCCCTTATATTATCTTTTATTCGGATATTTTTCTTTCTATTAGAGAGGGTAGGGAGCAAATCCAAAAAAAAAAATATACCATTTTATTCTTCCACCGTCTGTTTTCCTCGAGAAAAAAAACAAAAGGTACTGTTAGTTTTCCACCAAACACTTCACTTTTGTCAATAATCATGTATATTTAGCTCCGAAAATTATTGAAAAATATCAATTTATCGAAAAATATGTAAGTACTGATTTCAAACGGCAATGAGTGTCTTTTTATTAACAGTCGCGTGCATGCAATTTTCCCCACAGTTCAATTTGTTAACTGAATAACAGAAATTTTATTAATTTTCATCAACGCCATTAATGTTTTACGATAATAACGCTAATACATAATTAATTAATATTCGTGGAAAATACGAAAGGTAATCGTAGAATATTACATTGGACTTATTAACTGCAGATTTAAATTTTCAATTAAGGTCCAAAAAAAAAAAAAAACATTATTCACCGTCAGAGTATAAAAATTATAAGTATAAAATTGTCAAATTATTTTTAGGAGACTGAGAATAATCTCTTATTACGGTGGGTGCATGATTATTGTGAAGAAAAACGGATAGCGGTGGAAAGCGGAGTATCTCGGTTTTAGTTGAAAATGGCTACAGCCTTTTGTGTTTTTTTACGTATGTGTGTGTGTGTGTGTGTATGTGTGTGTGTGCGTGTGTGTGTATAGATGTGTGCGAATTTTGAATAATACTCTTTATCGTCGTTTAGCAGTGTAGAGGTACAGCGAACTAACTAAACTTTTATTTCAGAAATCTCTAAACGCCCCCGCAAAAAAAATAATAAATAAATTATGTTCCCAAAATTCACATTTTTTAGAAAACGACAAAACTAAAAAAAGCTTTTCTAGTGCAATAAAAAAAAAAAAAATCTAAAATTAATTTTTTTTTTCTTTCTTTAAATGTAATTTAGGCTAAGAAATTTAAAACTGCTATTAAAAGTTTTAGACGTCACCTATTTATTTATTTTTGTATGCTGTAGTTTGGAACATCTGAATTTTGATAAAAGTTCAAATGGAATATGGACATTTTTTAAGTTCTCACAATATGGACCATATGATTTCTAACACGAGTGATGTATGGGTATGGTTCAGTATATCAAAACTCACATAACCAATAGACCTTGTTATTTTTGGCACACAACCATTGCATTCCTATTAAATTTAAACACGTCCTCTTGCATTTTAAACGAACCGATTACAGATGCGAATTCACATTCAAAAGTTCTATAAAACAGTATCACTAACTCGTTTCCCCATTTTTTCCAACACGTGAATTTTGATTATTACTCTACTCAAATGTTTGTTTACCATAAAAACCAACTATAAGCACCTTTGTACAAAGGTTTTTTTTATCAACCATCTCAATCATTTCAACGGCACTATACTTAAGGCCTAAGGATTTTCTGAAATAAGCAATTCAGTACACAATAGGTACCTATTGCCGTGTTTATTATCAATAGACATTAATGTCGTGTCAGTGGCGTATCGGGGGAGATTAGGGAGATACATCTACTCATTGGCCTTTTTTTTTTTTTTTGTATCGAACATTTATACGAAACCCATTTTCATATTCGAAATTTTTTACTTTTTAGTAAAAAAAAATCCACAATTTAATGTATTGATACTTTTATATAGCTAATGTATCAAATAAAACTGAACGTATACGCACATTCTTGATTAAAACGAAAGCTATCAAAACCATTTTATTATGAAGGAGGTTAAATTAGTAAGTGAGCACCTAAATAGCAACAGTAATAATAATAGTATACACTCGTAAAGTAAATAATTATTCACCCTTTAATTATAATTATATATTTGATTTTAACGGTAGTTAACGGACGGATTGAATCATAAATTACTTTACAAGGCATAATATAGATTATAAAAAAATTGTATTTTTTTTTTTGTTTGGCCTGAATGCGCGCTATAATATGTCATACAACATGACACGATTTCCAAATTCTATGCACATCTCCTTGGCGAAATTCTAATTACGCTACTGATTAATTTAATATTAATCCGTCTTTGTGTATTCGCACATTATACCACTATTATAATTATTATTGTATTATCATATGTGTAAGGATACAGAATTATACATTATCATTATGATACACAGTTTGCGTAAACTACATTAAAAATATATCAAGTATTATTCACATTTCTTGTTTAACGATAAAATGTCCCGGAATAGCCGTTTAAGTCAATAATATAATATTACATGCGTCGGGCTCTGAACTCCTATTATAACACTGTTTATGTTGATTTCAACGAGATGATAATATAAAATTATTGTTCTTTTTTTCTTTTTTTTTGCAAAAGCTTTATTGTGTTTCAGTAGTAACGGGTTTTTTTTTTTTTATCATTATTAATACGACAATTTTATTGTTAGCCGCTTATTATAATATATTATATTATTCATTAATTATTATTATTATTACTATTATATAATTACCGGTTTCATAGTACTGAACGTAAACACTTATATTATTATATTTTTATTAATTAATCAAATATTATAATACTATTATTATTATTATTATTACGTATAATTATTAAATATTGTTATTAATAACGATCGGCTTACACCAAAACAATATTTTAATAATAATAATGTTATTAATTATAACGTATACTAGTAGTCGCAGTATCGTTCATAGTAATTCATTAAATGTGAATCGAAAAAGCAGTTTTATTTTTTTCGTTATTATTCGGTTTTTTTTTCGTAGTCATTTCCATACCCATATAATATTATTTTATAACACTTATTGAAATATTATTTGTCCTTATATTATTTTATTATACTTAATGATAACATTATATTATTTCTCTCGGGATACTTTTTTTTATTTTTGCCCAATAAATCCGTAATTAGGTTTTAGCATAATATCATAATATTATTTGTTTTTATTATTTCTGTAACTTAGGTACCGTCACCCCATGTAGTTATACTATTATTATTATTATTATTATCATAATTATTATTATTATTATTATTATTATTATTATTATTATTATTATTATTTGTATAGTGTGCTTAAATAGAAAATTAAATATATAAAAAAAAAAAAAAAACTAGTAATATATTTGTTTGTTTTTATTTGTGTAAATACTGACCGTAATATTGAATCGGATCGGTTCCCGAGAGTTGTATATTTGTCAAATTGGCTCCTATGTCACGCATTTATGTTCATACGCCCAATAACTAAGGTATTTTTTAAATTCGGGAGTATCAAGCGAAGAAGTTATTACCATTGAATATAGA